GCCGCGGCCTCGCCGTCCGCCGCGGCTCTGCCCGCCGCGCCGATGTCCCACAGGGCGCGAAGGGGGCAGGAGGAGCAGGAGGAGGAGGGGGCGGAGGAGGAGGAAGCGGCGGCGAGGGGCAGCCAGGCGCGGGCCAAAAGCCACCCGGAGTCCGCGGCGAGCGGCGGCAGGACCCAGGACCGGCATGAGAGGAAACGGAAGAGGCAGGAGGCGCAGCAGCTCCAGAAGCTCCAGCACCTGGAGTCCTTGTAAGGGGCGGAGGAGGGGGGGTTACCCGGCGGGCGCTTCGGCCCCGGGCCCTGCCTTGCCGCCCCCCCTGCTCTGCTCCGAGCCCGCCCCGCCGGCATGTGGGGCTCGTTTCCAGTGCGGGCTTGGGGGGGTTGAGGGGGGTGTGCGTGTAATTTTTTCCCTGGACCGTTCTCTTCCGGCAGCGGCAGCTCCGGCTCCGTCCCGTTTTAAAACCGCGCCCCGTTTTTATGCAGAAGCGGGTCCGTGTTTCGGTTGCGTACGGGCCGGGCAGCCCGGGCCGCGCTACAGCAGCGCTCTGCTCTCCGGGGGGCTTCGGGGCCGCCGGCAGAGCTGCGCGGTCCCTTTTAGAACGACTTGTTGGGGGAAAACGGGTCTCTTCCACGTTTCTAGAACTCTGGGAGTTGCAGCATAGAAGCGGGGGTTATTCAGCCAGCTTCTACTAGAGTGTATTTTAAAAAAACCCAAAAGACCAAAAGGTTTGAGATCTGCCTAGTGACTCCATCAGTAGCCCGCGGTGCTGTTAAAAAGCTTATGCTATTTCACTGAAGGGGGGGTCAATGGAATAAAAAGATCAGGTTCACAAAACCATGATTTTTTCCTTTACCGGTTGAAGTAGAAATCTATTTGTTATGAAACCCACTAAACAGCACTTAAAAAGTTACTGTTCTAAAGGCCTTTCCCCGTGTCTTGGCATTTGACTTCTAAGCATATCCTCTTTCTCAAGTCGCTGTTGCTCTATGTAGCACCTGCTTGCTGTTTGGATTTTAATACATTTTATATCAACTATTAACTTCAGAGGAATGCTGCGGGAAAGGTGATATTTTGGTTTATAAAGTTCTGTCTAGGTTTAATACATACAAGATGGAGTTATTACAGACTGTGTTTGTCTTGACAAAGCTGTGATCCACCAGTGTTTTAGTAAAGAAGTTTATATCAGTGAGATCTTGGGGAGGGGTGCTACAGAAAAAGAGGACAGAGTTGTGCGGTTGTAACTGAAGCTGAATTGGATGTACCACACGTTACTGTAAAGTGGTGCAGTGAAAGTAATTGTTCTCCCACGAGAATATGAATCTGAAGGACCTTTGCGAGAGAAGTGTGTAGTGATATGACAAGCACTGTGTCTCAGCTTGCACACAGGTATCTATCTATCTGTGCTAGAGTTCTGGGTGATTACTGACAGAGTAAAATTTCAGGGAATATGTGATGTGAAGGTTTTAACTCTATACCATCGAAATACTGTATTTTCTCTATTTGTCTGTGCTAAGCTGCAGAGTAACAATATTTCTGTTGCTTTTCAGTTATGAGAAACCTCCCCCAGGGCTAATTAAGGTTGGTAAATATACTGCAGTAAATTTTTAGCATTTTCACACAACCTGTGTTTTAGCTTAAGTGTCTGTGTTACCTGTGTAAATTATAGAGAGAAGTAGGTGATTCCAGGGAAAAACTCCAGATTCTTCTCCATTTCTTATGCTCAAATATTTGTGTAAAAATACTTTTCTCTCATAACGATAATTACTTTTGCCAAATTTATATACCTAAGCCATAATCTAGTGCTTTTAACCTAGAAAATACTGCTGTGTTGTAAAGGCTGTTTTTAATTGTTATGTCTTATTAGCAGGAAGAGGAAAAAGAAGTTCCTGCTTGTCTGTTAAGTTTTCATTTATATTATTTATCTAAATACTAAAATAAATGGGAAGGAACAGAATTAATATGGCAATTAAGTTCAAACTGGAAAATTCAAGGGTGAGGGGAAAAAGAAAATTAATGCTGTTAAAAGGGTCAGGTATTTAGATCCTTCACGTGTTATGAGAAAAAGACATGTTACAGGGGAAATAGGTTCCATATCAAGTGAAGGCCTGCACACTTGGAGTATTAATTTTTACAAAGTTAAGATAAAAAAAGTGATTTTATCGTCCTTATTTTTTTTCATAGGAGAATGAAACAAAACCAGAAGACTGCATACCTGATGTACCAGGCAATGAAAGTGCACGGGAATTCCTGGCACATGCCCCGACAAAAGGGCTTTGGATGCCTTTGGGAAAAGAAGTCAAAGTCATGCAGTGTAAGTTTGAAAATATTCCAGATGTCATTGGACCTTCATATAGCCATCCGTTTACTCTGGGGGAGGGCAGGATGTCTGGTGGACAGATGACAAGGTTCAGGTAGATTGACATCATTGATACAAAAGCAACCAGTATTTTGAAGGCTGTAATAGCCTTGCATTTAATAGATGCTACATTTATCAACATAATACTTGTATCTTTCCATTTGTTCCAACACATTGAAAATATTTTGCGTTAACATGTGGCTGCTTTTTTTCTTTTACTTTTCTTCTGGTCTGACTCAGAGGTACAATTCACTGCTGCTTTTTTTTTTCTTTTAAAGGTTGGAGGTGTAAACGTTATGGACACAGAACAGGAGATAAAGAATGCCCATTCTTTATTAAAGGCAATCAGAAATTGGAACAATTTAGAGTAGTGAGTACAAATACTGTAGTATTATTGCTTGTATTTTTTAATACTTATGCATAATCTTGCAAGTGAAGAGAAGCCTGTTAGATGATGCTTTATTAAGAATTTTTCCTCTGTCTCTAGTATAATATAGATGCCGAAAATCTCCTAATAAAGAAAAAGCTACAGATGTGGTTGGATGTTTGACTACTTTGCAGAAAATCTACTCTTCAAGAGGAAAATTAGTAATTTTTACATCTAAATTGGAAATCTTCAAGAACCCATTTCTACCATTATATTCAGTTTTTGTGATTAAAATGTCAACGTAACAAAAAATGTTTAGTCAAGCTTGAGCTGCTTCAAACCTTTCGCTCTCACTGTGAACAACCACATCATGAAGCCTGTTGTATAGGTCTGTAATCCAGTCATTGTCTACAGGTCTGATCTCTTGCTACATGAGGCTGCATCTCAGTTCTGCAGATTCTTTCTGCATGATCTCTTTAACTATCCCTGTTGCTCTGCATTGTTAACCTGTATTTCAAGTTCTCATCACTTTGTGTCTTATGTCCTCATTTCTATCCTTGAAGAATGTAATTTGGACTCATCCTGTCCAGATTCTGAACTCATACTGATTGTATGCTACTGCAAAGAGTATTTTTAGCCCTCTCCCATGACAAGATTGTCTCTATTCTTTTTTATTTGAGCTTCTTTTCTGTTGCATCGGGCTCTTGCTGTATGTCCAAGGCCCTTCATGCTGCATTCCCATCTTTCATTTACCACTGACATTTTAATTCCACCTCTGGTCAGCATCTGATATCTCCTCTCTGTTGAACTTGTTTGCTTGATCTTCCAACAGAACTGATCACCCCATCTTTTTTCTTCATTCTTGCATGGCAAGCACTCACCTTAAATGTCTGCAAAGTTTATTTGCTATCTTCCTTCACAACTGTCTTTTGCTACAATGCTCATTTAATTTAAAAATAATGGATTTAAGAATTAATAATGGTAGTGCATAGCATGCTAAGACAACTCCAGCTTCATTATCCATTTGTCTTCTGTTCCTTGCCCCTGTATTCATGTATGTTCATGTCCAAGTTTTTAAAATATGCTGAAAGGCACAGCTCATTATTTTGAACTTCAGTATTCCATCTATGTGTAGCTATTCCTGCAGTATATGTATGGGGGTTTCATGGTTAACTGTGATTGGAGAGGGAGAGAGGTATTATACCTAAGGAGTGTCCCCTTCATCCCTTTAGTGATGTAACTAAATAAGCTTTTCCTAAAGTAAAAAAAAAAACAGATTAACAATGTTAAGTCTGAGACTATACTTGTGAATTAAGAGCTTGCTAAATGTATTTCATCTTGTGATAAAAGCCTCTTGTATTGGGTTGCTTTGGTTTATTTTTTTAGGAAATAAAACAGTCGGTGATACTTTTATTTACCAACATTGGATTTTCTGTTTTCCACTTTAAAGGCACATGAAGATCCAATGTACGATTTAATAAGGGAAAATAAACGTCATGAAAAAGAAATGAGGTAAGTGTATCTGTGTAGTAAACTGCATTTTGAATGTGGTTTTCATTTTGATAACATAGTAATAGGTGAAATTTTGATAGAAGCTTACTCTTACCTCAGAACATTTTTTTAATGGCAGTTTCGTTATGTTGGCAGAGACTAATGCGTTTCTACTTTCTCAATAATCACTCAGTAGTACTTCCTGACTCTTTAATTATATCAGCTTCTATGTTTTTTCCGAAAACAAAGTTTAAAGAGGAGTCATACTCATTTATGTCATAATATTCAGATACTTTGGTTTAGGCCTAAAAAAAAAGAATTTTGATTTTTTTCTTCTTTCACTGACATGTTTTCTAAAATTTGGTACATAAAACTGCCTTCAGTAGACATGAAGGGGTGGATTTACAAAGCTAGCTCTAAGCACCTGATGTTGTTCCTCATGTGAGATTGTTATTCAGTATATAAAACAGCAGAGTTTTTAGTGCTTTCTTGCTTGAACTGCATCAGGGAGATAACTGAACAAACTATAAGTAGCCCGTAGAGGAGTACTGCTGCTGCAGGTGTGTTACTTTTTTTTTTTTTTTTAATTTTTTTTTTTTTTAAAAAAAAAAAAAGCAAGACCTTGGAGAGGATACTGAAGATGACAGTAAAATAAGCAAATAGTTTGTCCCCATTTGTCAGTAAACGACGAAAGTTCAAAGGAAGAGTGCCTGTCAAAAATACCTCTGCACCTAGCGTAGAGTTTACTGTCACCTTCGCTGACATCATCTCTGTATCAGCAGGGCAATGAATGTCATGATATCATAATCCCAGTATGCATCTGTGTTTGGATAAACATAGAACTTATAGTGGTCTGATAGCTGTTGCCTTATTATTTTGCACACATAAATATTGGCCAGTAAGCTAGTCTTCCTTGGATACCTGTGGGATGGAAAGGCCCTGAGAACAGAACATCTGCTTGCTTCAAGAGAGGTTGCTTTTATCAGTCTGTGAAAACTGTAACAGGAGTGTAATTCAGCAAAAGAGGAAGTGTTCTCTTGCCCCTTGTACGCAGCTTTCATTTCTTAAGCTACGAAGGCAATAGGTGAAACCTAGAGAAAATCATTACAGGTAGAGGAGAGCTAGAAAGGATTCTCATTCACATTTTTTAAACTCAGGATACAGCAACTGAAGCAGCTCCTGGAGGACTCTACCTCAGATGATGATGATAACAGTGATGACAGTGATGAGGATGATGAAGATGGCAGCAGCTCCACTTCTTCAGAATGTCGAGATAAACACAAGAAGAAAAAGAGAAAGAAGGAAAAGAAAAAAAAAGAAAAGAAGAAGAAGAAGAAGAGAAAGCGTAAATCATCTAAATCTAATGAGAAGTCAGAATCTGACTGACAGGAGTCACCTGCTGCATGCTCATTGACCCCTACTTGTGAACTGCAAGGAAAGATCCAAAGAATGAGGAAGAAACCACCGGAAAGGGCTTCATTCAACTTAGATGTATACATATAGCATCCTACATGGCTGTCCTCTTTTGCCCCTCTGCAGTGCTGCAGCGAGAAGGAAGAGTGCTGCATTAAACAATACTCAATCAACCATATCTTTATACTGTAAAAATCTTACCAAGGATCATCAGTCTTGGTCAGACTGGGCCTCTGCATTGCTGCATGTGACTGTCAGCAGAAAGCAATGACTACCAAGGTATTGCCAACAAATCTGCAGAATTTGCAGACTGTCTACTGAAGTGTCTTTTCTCCATGAAGTTATTTTATTATATACAAAGCCTCATTTGTAATGGGACTGCAGTTTGCACCATGCAGAGCACTGAGAGTTCACTTACAGTGCTTATACTAAGCAGGTTGTACTGTATTTTTTTTCTCTGCATACTGCCTGTGTGCTGAAGTTCAGTGTACTTATCCTGGTACTGGCAGCTAGGGAAATAAAGAGCATTGCTGAAGGGGGAAAAAGTTAATCAAGGGGATTTACTTTAAGATAAAATTGCAGCGTCAGCAAGACTTGATTTTTTTTGTGTAGCAAAATGTCAACATCACCATTAATGCGCACAGTTCTGCAACACCTAAAGCATTCTCCAAACCACAGGAGTGGGAGCCAAGTGTAATGATGTTAGATGTTCAACTTTACTGTAAAGATGTAGTGGGTTTAGTTATTTAAAAAGGGGGGTATCTTAGAAATGAAAAAGATTAATTTCTACATACACTTCAGTATCAGTTGTTTTGATACATTTGAGGGGTTTTTTCCTTTTAAAAAGGGTTGGGGAAATAAATTCCAACTTATTTCTTATGTTTACTAGAATTATTTTCTGTAGTATTATTAGTATAAAAGGATACAAATGTGTAAAGCTTTCAAAATGGTTTTCAACTATATGCATGTAAGCCACAGAACAGTAGTAAAGAACGTGTAAGCAGGAGGAAGGGGAAGTTTTGTGTAGTTAATTGACCTTGTGGACTGACCCCACTTTTCTATCTTACAGACTCGACTAGAAAGATTGAGATAGCTAAAACGCTTTTTGAAACCTTAAGGTACAGTGGTACAAAGCTGTGATTTGAGGATCTAGATGATATGTATTGGTACTCTGCAAAAGGTTAAAGAAAAATAGATTTCCTTTGAAAGGACTAGGAAGGATTTATATAGAACTTGGTATCTGTGCTAACGCTTATATTGAAAAAGAAGCATGATAAAGCTCTAACATTATTGGAGTGAACACTAAATCAAGGAACCCTAGTCTAAAAATGCATTTAAGATACTTTTTTTTTCTTCTCCTGAGAGCTTTGGAAAAGAGGGCAGGGGCAAGTATACATTAAAATGTGTTTTCTCCCTCCTACATGTCTAAGAGTCACTTAGTAAAAATAAACCCCCATTCCTTGCCAGTCATTCACAATATGTTATGGGGGAAAAAAAAGGTAGTCAAGACCTAATTACAAGGAGATCCTTTATCTTATTCCCAGAGCTTGAATGTGGAGTTGTTTTATCCTCCAGTATTTAGCAAATCTCCCTGTGATAGGATTTACTGGCAACTCTTGATAGTTCCCTGAATCAGCAGCATCATCAAATTCAAAGCTTCTGGCTCTTTCACCAGAAAGATTTAACACCTGAAATGGCATGAGAAGATTTCTAATGGACTGGTTTTCTGCATTGCCACAGTTGGTGCTGGGCAGATCCGTGCATTTATAGCATTGGCAATTGTTGGACAGATGCTGGAAGCCACAGCTAGTATTCACCTGATGCATTCCAAGGGAATTCTTACTTTAGTTTATCTAGAGCAGAGCTAACCTAAAGATCTTTCAGTTACTTCACCTCTTGTCACTTAAGATTCTACTGAAGCTTTGTTTAATAAAAACAAATTTAGTTTTTCCTTAGTCTGTCATCCCATTCCTTGTTAGTAGATCCTTCTCATTTTACCTGTCAAGGTTTGCTTTTTTCTCAGTTGTTCAAAATACTATGTTAGACAATTTCTAACTTACATCAAATGCAATTTAAGTTTTGAGATACCAAATCACTGTGGTGTTTCAGACTAAAGGTCTGTTTACACCAGTGTCATCTTCCACTCATGGTCAGTAGCAGATCCCTGTGCAGCAGAGCAGTGCAAACTCCAGGGGCATTATTTCTGTTATTTCACTGAAATGCTGTCTCAGCCTCTACTGCTTGTAGTGAAAGTACTTTGAATCATAGGTTATATTTTAGTATTTAGTAGCCTTGCATATATTTTTTTCTTTTTACATCCAGTCACATCTTGTAAACTTTAGTTTTCTTCAGCAAGGAACTCTACAGATTAATTAAGCAACATGATTTGCTTTTGCACTGCTCCCTACTGGCTTCATTTCATGGACCCAAGTCCTTGTACTGGAAGGCATGTGAACAACTGATTCCTATTTGGTTTTCCCATGTCATTCCCAGTTTTAAAAATCTGTCATATCCATACAAAACAGTTTTAGATGGTCTTACAAAGTTTTAAAAATGAAGGTAATAGTTATCAGTAGAATAAGATTTAGGTAGTGCTGACTGGCAGCTAGTGCTAGAATGCTGAGAAGCATGATTTCATTATTGAGCATTTTAATCAGTGCCAAAGCTGGATATTAAGAGACTAGGTTTTTAGGAGTAGATGGATTAGAGATAAATACCAACATCCATTTATATTAATGGGAAATGATCCTGTGTAGAAGTAAATCCAGAAAGCAGAATAGAAAGCTATAGTCTTGAAAGACTGATTAGCCTTATTTTTTAAAACTTAACCATTGGAGTACTTATTTTTATTCAAAAACCAGATCTTTTTTTTCTAGTAATCCTTGCCTTCTTTGTAGATGTGTATATTTCCATTTGAAAGTCCTGTTGAAGCCTGAGTGGTAGTTAGTAACAGCATAATTGTGTAGTCCCATAGATCTAAATGTGTGAAATGCAGCTACAGCATAGTTCATATACAACACAGCTTCACAGGTCTGATTATCTTAATACTCTGAACCATTCTTGTCAGAAAGATTATTTCAGAAAAAATACTGACATCTGTCTTATTTCTTTGGCCATGAAATTACCAGACTTTTATAGTCTTGTTGACCAATATGGCCAGTGGCAGTGAGTCAGTCAGGGGAATCTGAGGACTCTTTTTAAACAGTGTATTTGTTTTTCCTTGGTATGCCTGCAGTTAGCATGCAATGAGTGGGTGGTGTTTTGTTTTGCCATTGGCTCCTGTCTTCCATTATTTGATTTTAATAGAAAAACCTGTAATTAAACTTTTCCAACATAAAGGCAGAAAACAGGACACTGGAAAAGAGCTTTATGTCATCCAGGTGCTACCAAATTGAAAATTAAAATATGGAATTAAAATCTGGCAAGCCAGCCTAACACACTGGCTCCACTTCAGTGATTACACCACACCCACTTTGCAACAGAGGTTTTAGTTAGCTACAAATAACAATTTAGAAATTCTGAGTCACAGACAGTAAGTCTGTCCAAACAAAGCTTCCAGTATGGCAGTCTCGGAGGCCTCTAAGGTTTGGTGTGCCAAGCAGCAAATAGATTCTTCATCTGCCCTTCCTTAGATGCTGCAGAAAGCATGTGAAAATTCCAAAGGCAATGGAGGACCTGCTACAGTTTCAAGTTCACAACACTGCCAGCAGTGCTGTTAATCACTGGGCAATCTAGCTTCACTAATAAAAGCTGACACATATGGGCATCTGTAAAATTAAATCTCATATCACTGTGCCTAGTTACCTGGCTGAATAAGAAGGGCCTGGACTTTAATTCACAGCCTTTTAAAATGCAGTTTGTACTTCACAGCCTTTCTGAAGCATGGCCATTTTACTCACCAGAACATTAAGTATGGCTGTAAGCCAGTTGACTTAAATCTGAAGTCCACAAATTATCCATGCTGCTGAGTAAAGCAGCATCCAAGTAGAAGATTTAGTTCTAAGGCCACAGGACTAGTTCTGTCAGAGTAGAGTACACCACATATACCATTATCCTAGAAGCATCTCTGGAGCACTAGAACATTCATGCATACTACTTGAAGCATTGGTGTGGATGTATAGCATAGGTACACTACAAGGTTTTAAGCAATTAGTTTTAAAATAGCATTTGTTTTCAGAAAAAGAGCTGTCTAAACACTCCAACTGCTACTCCCTCACATCTTCTTGGGAGCTAGCATCACCAGGCCCTAAATTGCTTCTTACATTGGAGTAGAAAGCGCACTGACTAGTGCAAGATCAGTGAAAGGATGACTAGCATGATCTTGGGAGTACCTGTGAAATATTAGCCATTCCCAAAAATAAGAGTGCCATGTACCTGTGAGGTCATGAATATTCCTTTATCAGACAAGCAGCCAAAGGTGTTCACGCTGTCAGCAGAATTTGCTTAGTATTCAATCCCAAAGCTATACTCAAATCCTTACTTAAGAGGTCTCAGTTGTAGATAAGGGTTTCTCTTAGGTCATCACTCAGTCTTCAAGTTGGAAAGATTGTACCACTCATTCTCCCAATCAGAATAAAGTCTATCCCAGAGCAGCAGTCTTACATTTTCCAGAATATTAAAAAGCTCCATGCCTGAAGTAATTCCCTCCATGCAATTTCCTCCCTCATTTTATTCTTTGAGGTGCTGATGCAGTAGAGGTTTTGTGCAGCACAAAAGCCAACTAAGAATTTGTATTCCTTATTTTGTTGCAGTGCTTAGAGAAGAAATAAAAACAGTGTCACAGCATTGAGGTGGATCCTTTCCCCTTATAGCGTAGGGTAAAGCTATAGTTACAATGGCTCTAGAAAGCAAGCGCTATTAAAAATAACAGACCGAGGATCAGTTGGGTGGGGAAACATCAGTACTCCTCACTGAAGGAAAACAGCATAGCTTCAGTTACAGGTTAAACTAGTACTAGATAGACACAAAACTTGAAGGCAGTCACAGGAAATCACAGAATCATTCAGGTTGGAAAAGATCCTTGGGATCAAGTCCACCCATCAGCCCTACTACAAAAAGTTCTCTCCTGCACCATAGCCCCCAACATCTCATCCAAACGACCCTTCAACACCTCCAGGGATGGTGACTCCAGCCCTTCCCTGGGCAGCCTATTCCCCCGTCTGAGCACTCTTTCTGGGAAAATTTTTTTCCTAATGTCCAGTCTGAACCTCCCCTGTTAATGCTACTTTTATCCATGTAGGTTACTCTAGGACACAGACAGAATAAGAAGATGGGAGAGGAGGCAGAAGACAAGTCCTTCTTGTCCTTTCCCCATGCCCTTTAATAAAGGGAAAACTGTTGTGGGTTGGGTTTTGGTTTGTTGTTTTTTGGGGGTTTTTGGTTTTTTTACAGCTTCCTTAACTTTTTCACTCACACTATCACATCCAAGAATAGCAGTATCATATTTACTCTCCTTGCATGATGATATTAGCTTTCATAGAAATGAAAAAGATTACACATTTGAGCTATTCACCTCCTCTAGATCAGTCTATTTCCATTATTCATGATAGCTCAGCAGAGACCTAGTTTTATCATCTTAGTTCTATAAAGAGACTTTTCTGTAGCAAGTTGCCAAGGACTGTATCAACTGTAATAGAAGTCATCAGTAAGAATTCAGGGAATAGGGCACACCACTGTTGTAAAAACTTCTGGTTCACCTTCAAAATCCATCTCTCCAGCTCAGGGTCTCCACAAGAAGGGAGGAGGGAGAAGCATCGCATTAAGTCAGTGCTTTACTTTTAGTCCTCAATCAGGCATTTAAGAATAAGGTCTGAGGAACTGCCTTGAAATTTCAAGTCAGCACTTGATAAAGCTTTAACTATATTCCTTTACACTTCAACAAAAACAAATCCAGCCAAAAATCCAGCTAATGGAACAGAATCTGTCCGCATCATATATACAAACTGACTATAAGATGAGATGACATTAACAGGCTTCACAATGCTGCAGAGCTTAAGGACTGGGCAGGAGTAAATAGTACTGATACACATACATTACTATCAAACTTTTTTGCTCCTATGTATAGATGGAATACAAGAAGCCTTAAAGTGCAGTTCTATTAAATTTATTATTTAAATAGTGGATGTGCTACTTATAAAAAGGTGACTTTAGTGTTAAATACTTAATTCCTTTTTAATAATGGCCTCAGTCTTTACAGTGCCACTTGTTACACATTAAGAATGCACAGCAACTTACAAAATATACAAGAGAATAGTAACTGAGTTTTGATTTATGCAAATCTCATACATTGTTTTTTTCTCCTGACTCACTATTTGCAGTTATCTTCTCTTATGGAGGCACTTTCTTGTTCTATGCCCTAAAAAAAAAAAAAAATAAAAATTAAGGTATGCTTTCTCCCTCCAAATAATGTATGTCAATTCACTTCTAAAGAAAGATTAGTTATCAGTGATTGCCTTTTCCCATTGCAGGAAATGATGCTGATGGCTGATATTAGAACTGTGTACTCAACTTCCCAGCAAGTATTAATTCTGCATAAATGGTGTTAGACTGCAGAATATCCTAGTATAACAGGATAAGAGTTCGATATCAAAGTCATAGCATATTTTCAGTGTGCTCTTGTAACTACATTATTGAATGCATTCAAGAAACACCAACTATTTTGAAGGGAAATTATAGATAGTATTTTGGAATTCTGCAAATTTCCTGAATGCTTTTAATAAAACCAAATCAGCAATTAAAGATTTAACACCAATGCTTAAGTAATCCGACTTCAGGACTGATGCAACTTTTGACTAATCGGCTACTTCAGTCTAAGTTTCTGTTTCTGACCTTGCAAATACATGGAATTGTAATCCTTTGTTTAATACATGAGAAATAGACATTTTTGACTGAATGATCAAATAAGCTTTACTATGCCAGACTGTTCTTTTCTAGAAGGAACTCAGATCTTTCAGGTAGCTTCTTGTCTTGTACTGACCCTTTTCAATTTATAACCTTTTCAGACTCTCCCACAAATGCACAAGACCATATTTGTTATTGAACCTGCTTAATGTGTTTTTTTCCCTCCATTGTTTTCCATCTTCCTGCAAAGTAATAAGTTCCTACTCCATAAAAGTTCTTAAGAATTATCTATATGCATTTGTGTTGTAGCAAATTACAGTATTATGACCAAGACAGACCTGTAGCTTAAAGAAAAGGATATACTGCAAAGTGACACAGGACAACATTTTAAAAAGTTAGTAGAACAGTTTGAAGAGCAACTAGAGTAAAATAGTGGGCTTCAGGGGTTTGTTTTGCTTTGTTTTCTCTTCTGTTTCTCCCTTCCCCATAAAGAGAAGAAACCTAACCTGGTCAAAGCTGCAGCAGTATTTCTAGCAAGGTAAGCGTTCAGTTTAGCTTGCTTTTTACCCTTGCTTGTGTCTGCATACATAGCATTTACTATTATTTCAGAAGCTATCCAATATGCTTGCAGTTCAAACCAACTTAGTTAATTCATTAGTTATTATTTCATTACTGGCTTAGTCCCTGAGCCAGTAATGAAAAAATACTTGTAACAGTAGTTTTTGTAGCTTGTCACTGTATACCAACCTTTGCATATGCTGCTTTTGGGCATCTCCCACACTTCTTCCACCTCACATCTTGTGTCTCTGCGCTTCGAAGGTGGCTTGCCTATTCTTTTCTTCTTTGGTTTAACCAAAGGTGGACACCCTAAATAACAAGATACAACTGGTGGTTTTTCTCCGAAGCATAGTCTTAAAGCAAATTTAAGCTTGATTTTCCCCAACTGGTCTGCAATGTTCCTTTCTCCCTTCCATCTATACGTCCATTTCAGTGGCAAATAAAACTGGTAATACATATGTCAAGCAACAGTCCCATACGTCTACAATATTTAATCACTGTCTAACCACAAGTCTGCATGGTTTGTATTTTGGGTCATAACTTGGATAGGTGTTAATGTGGCAAAAAAGAACCCTGTGAGAGTTGGATAATTCTGCTCTAGTTCACTTCAAGCGTTCAAGATTAGTTAATGTCTGTTCTAGTGACCCAACTCACCCACTGTCTTTAAGACAACTCAGTTCCTCAGACCCGTTAGGTTATGCACCACAGGTACACAGTACAAGAAACCAAAATTTAGTATATGATATTACTGCTAAAGCAACATATCTTGTTTAGCCAAGCCCCCTTACTTGTAGGGCACTGAAATTTAATATTCATTTGAAGAAACCAGTCCTAAGATAAGCAACATTTTAAAAAGGATGTAATTTTACTAGCACTTCTGAAGCACCCATTGGCATGAACAGCATTCAAAAGAAACTGAGTCCTGCTTCCTAATAGTGTGAGAGCTTCTTCAAGATACACAGGCTGGAAAAGGAGAAAGAGAAAGCTGGAAAGGAGAAACACATAGGCCAAACATCCTCAGTATGTTGCACCATCTATGGCTTAGAAGAGATAGAAGGGACATGCTGAAAGTTACAGGTAACAAATTTTTAGGGGTTTTTTTTATGAGTTATTGTAAGGAGCTAAGAACAGTGCTGCTAAAGTAAAATGTTTTCAACTTTTATAGAGCATACTAGCATAAGAAAGCCCACAACTTTTTGAAGTCTGTGGATAGAAACCCTCCAGTACAGGAAGCAAATCCCAACCCAACAATGCTCAAGCAGGAAAGAAATGCAGAGAGAGAACTCCAAGGAATACACTCTAAAAACTAGTCTACTGAGCTGTTGATACAGGAAACCTGGTGTATATTATCCCTGAAGTGAAGCACACTGAGGAAATAAGTTGTACCTTGTTCTTTGCTCTTGGCTGGGGGTGAGAGACTGCCATGTGTTTGGCTGCTAAATTTGGGTTTAGCACCACTTTTAATCCAATACTCTTCAAGTGACATCCCCACATTCTCCCTTAGCAGCCTTCCTATTAAAAAAAGAGATTTAAAGTCAATATTTAGTTTTGTTAATATGCTGTTTGATCCACAGGTCAGAACATGAAGCTAGCTACTGAATCTAATTGTAGGAGTCTATTAAAATAAAAACATAGTTTTCCAGGGACCACAGTTGACAAATTACAAGCTGCTTTAAATCCACAGATTTTGTACAAAGAAAATAAAGTTTAAGAACACTAAGTCTGTTGTTAGAAGTAGATTGCCCTGTTTTAGATGGCTTTCATAAGACTGTACTAAACAGTAGCCACTTACTGAAATACCCACATAATCAGTTAGGAACCCTGACTGATAACTCTGCTTATTCTCAGTTCAGATTAATCCAAATTCTACTGATATCTACCTTTAAGTAAATAAAATGTTCTTTTCCAGATAAAATTTAACACATTTCCACACTGATTTTATGAAAATGCAGCAAAACTTTTGTTGCTAACAGTAAGAGAACAGCAGCTACAATAAAAAAAATAATGGCTTGACTCTTCTGCTGCAGAGAGATTACACAGGGTGCAGCCAACAGATTATAATGAATTTAATCCTGTTTAATCCATCTAACATGGGTCTGTGATGAAAGAATCAGAATGTTGTAAAAATTTAAATGCTGTTTCTGGGATACTATTAAACAATGACAAACATGTAGTTCAAATTACCTTAAGCTTTTCAAATTAATTACTTGCCACTATTGTCAAAAAGTTAAGTATATCAGATCTAGCTCAAAGGAGATTTCTGCACAATTCTCTGCTGTTTCTGAAGATGCAGAACCCTCATGCAATAGGTAGAAGATTGCAGCAAACCTCTGCTTCAAAAAATATCATGCACTACTCCTGGTTTTAAGTCATACCTGAAGGTACAATATCCTGCAGTGTTCTTGCTGGTTCAGACTACAATTTGCAACTTCAATTAGGTGTTCGTTGTGTGTTCTATTAAGCAGCACTTTTTCCTCAGCAATTAGCTTACCTTCCAAGAATTTTTGCAGTGTTTGCTGGTGTTCAAGTCCTTCTCTTCTTACTGTAGGCCTCTTTCTTCCATAATACCCATAGTCACTGTATACAACTTCATCTTGTTCCTTCTCCTTTGGCTTGTAAATTACACCGATGTTTTCACCAAGCCCACTCCTAGTTTTTATTTTCTCTTGAGCAGGCCAGCTAATTAATTGAGCTGGTATAGCATTTTTAGGTGGTTTCCAAAGCACCCTCTGGCCAATTTGGTAGAAACTTCCTTTACTAGGCATCAGGATTCCATATGGAGTGGCTTCTTGAAAGAAATACTCAATTTCATTTATGTCGTCGTTATCGTCATCATCATCATCATCCTCCGCCTCTTCATCCTCCTCTTCTCCCCTCACAGAGTATTCTTCAGAGTCCTCAACTTCTGACAAACTCTTAGCTGTTTTTTTCTTGAGAATATTGATTTTTTTCTGACTAGAAGTTCTAGGAAGGGCTCCCAGCTTTCTACCTTTACTGGAAACCTCTTTAATCTTCATGGTTGAAGAGTTTTTGACATCTTGATCACTCAAGCTGTTCATCTGCTCCCTTCCTACCACTTCATCTTCATTAAGGGCCCCAGCACTTTCTATTTTCTCTTTCTCTAAGCCCTCCATACTTTTTTTGAAATTATATGTGCTTTTCTGAAGCACATAGTCAGGGACAATATAAGACACTGCAACATTATCAGTTGATGAGCATTCCTCTCCAGAGGACATGTCATCAGAAGAAAGACTGAGTACACTTTGATGTTTCCCTTGCGGCAAACAAAGGTCATAGTTGTAGTTTGTGTCCATACTGTCCAAATGAGCCAGCCAACTGTTAGAGGGAACATACTTCTCAATTGATTCGTCACACCAAATACTTTTATCTGTTTGGCTTCCATGGGTTGCACTGTGGCTTAGATTCATCTTTTTCTGCTGAAAACTCAAGTCATTCATTACCTCCATACTAGATGGAAGTAGTCCTGCTTGCTGAATAAAGCTGGGCTCGTCTTGAGAAGTTTTTGAGCCTGTAGATTTTTTAGAGCTAGATTGCTTAGCTACTCCTCCATCCTGTCGCACCACTGGTTGATCTACACTAACAGATCTTGCCAGCTCCGTGATCTGCATTGCCATGGTTTCACCTGGGTGGGATTTTGCCCGTTGACTTGTATTTGCCTGCTTTTCTGCATCCAGCTTCACTTGATTATTTAGGACCTCTTTTTCTTGAACAGTTTCAACACCCTGCTTTGAGGCAAGAAGAGCTTTTCTCTCATCTAAGGAAGCTCCTGGCACCATTTTCTCCCCTTCATGAGGGCCATATATCATTCCTTCACATGAACTAACAGAAAATAAGTCATGCTGCACTATATTCTCTGGGACTGGTTTCCCACTTGCCACATCATACAAAGGGATAGTTTCTTTAAAGGACTTCCACAACTGAATAGCTGGAGAGCCATTTCCATATTCTATCCTCACTTCTTCCTTTTCAAAGGCATAGCTTCTAGTAGGAAGATTTCTATACTGTGTAGAGCTGGAAGGGCTCTTGTTACAAAACTCTCTGTCTACCACAATGGAAGATCCAGATAAATCTTGTTTCTCTGAAGTATTTTCAGTTTCTGTACCTATACCAGAAGAAACACAGGCCATACCTCCTGCATCACAACCTTTCGTTTCTGTATTAATATCCTGATGCTTTTTTTGCTTGTTTTCAGGCTGTCTAGGATCAGTCTGTGTTTCTTTTGTCTCCGTTTTTTTCCCAGAGGGATTATAGTGTCTAAATCTTGTTGCATAATAAAACACAGGGGAAGGTGAGGGAGCATTAAAATAAGGCCTTCTGTTAATTCTTGCATGCATTGGATGTTGTGGAACAAAATATCCAGGGTACTCATGGAGCGCAACAGAATAAAATGGAAAATATGGATTTCCACTTCGGATGCCTAGACATTGGGGATTAAAAAAAGTAAAGACAAATATATCTTCTTTCTGAAATAAGTAATTCTGATTAGTATTTAACTGCATCAGGGACAGCTACAAGATCAGACACATAGGTAAGTAAAACACTCCACCTGTCAACACTTAGAAGCAAATCTGGTGCAGAAACCCAGAGTCTGTTCTGTGATACAGAACAGCTTATCTGGACAGCTGCACCACAACCAGAACTTAATTTCATTCCTTGGAACATGTACCCGTGAGCTTTCTGTCCTTTTTTGATATTTTGTAGACTATGCTATAGCATTGTCTTTGAAAGAGACAGCTCCAGATAGAAGTTAACATAGGTATACCATTTACAAGATGCATTTACCAACATTGTTTCTGTGTTGTTTTTTAAGTTTATACTTATCCCTACCCATAACACAGGCATGCATATATGGAATTCCTATATACACACATATTGATTGTTAGGTGTATTCTAGAGCTCTGTATCTGTAGGATAACCATTACTTAATATTTTGCTTACATCCCATTTTCCAGAAATGGATGCTTTCCAGCACACAAGCTACACATCAAACTACACTTCATAAATCAGATCTTTAACAACTCAAACATTAACTCTACCTTAAACTCTCAAGATGCTTGTTAACACAGGTACACATTTGTTTCCTCCACTCTAGCAGTAGGTTACTAAGCAAAACTACCACAGACAGCTCTCATTTACTTTACCTGGCGCAGGTACACAGTACGGACTGTATGCATGGCTGAGGTACCATGGATTTGGAAAAGGCTGCTGTGCTGTTGGCTGTGCATAAAAAAAGGGTCTTGTGTGGTTTGTGGAATATGATCCACTTTCTGAAGCTGAAGCAGTATTCATTTTTTTTTAAACACTGAAAGAGAGAAAAAAAATCAGGATTAATCACTTCAAAACCTGTGTGACCTAATGGTTTTTATGCTCTGTCAGAATTCAGGAAACATTCCTCTCCCAGCCCAATGAACCCAGATCTTTCTGGAAGAAAACCACTATCTTCTAAACAGAAAGTAGAAAACTGACATTACTATCAAGGTCAAATATTTTAGTTCTCCTTTGCTAAGCAAGCTTTTAGATGCAGCTCTCAGTACTATTACTTCAATCTTATAACACATTTTAAAGCCACAGGACTATTAACTTCAACAAAGTCTTATACACACACATCCATATAAGTAATATTCTAGCCAATTGAAAACCAGCCTTCAGTCAATTAGCCTTGAGCAAGAGAACTCAAAAAAAAAAAAAGGTATAAAAGGCTTTACACAATCAGAAGTTCGGTGCTTCATGAAAAAAATACTTCTTAATGCCAGTACATATCTGAGATCACCATAACAGCTCTATTAATTCAGGATTTGTACTCAATACTGTACTTACAAACAATAATAGCTAACATAATAAACCAAATATTTCAGTGACACTATGCTTTGTATGCTTAAACTGAAGGATAAGTAACAAAAAAGCAAAATCCTTATGCATAAGTTCACATTCAAAGCCATACAAATTTCGTGAGACAGAAATTCCCCCCACACTTAATATATTTCCTCAGTTAACTAATAGACTAAGTTCAGTCCATTCCAATCAATGGAAGTGATACAAACCTGTCACAGATAGCTTATAAACAAGAATAAAAGAAATCAGAGAACAAAAGATCTAGTGACTACACAGGAG